GTAGACGCTGCAGGAGAAGTGCACCAGCTGACAGACGGACGACGACTGAGCGTCAGCTCGTCGCTCAAGGTCACCGGCGCCAGCCCGATTGTCTTCCTCATTTTCTTCGCTGGCCCCTGGCCACGGGAGCGAGAGTAGTAGGGAGGGGGGGGGAGAGCAGGTCGAGTATGGTGGGTTGCCTAAGTCGAAGGCGCTTGGCACGCAACTCGTGACAATTCCCCCCTACTCAACAAAAAAAGGCGACACGCCTTTTTTTTGGAATGGCCTAGAATGGCCACTCACTAGACGAAGTTGAACTGGAAGAGCTGCAAGACTCCGATGAACTAGATGCATCAGATTCTTCTGCATCAGTATCTTCAGCGTTGGGCTCGACAATCAACTTTTGCAAAGTCAGAAGCGGGCACAGAAAGACGACTTCGTCATGCAGGTTGTTGAGTTCCATAGCAAGACTCCGATATCCCTTGACGGCGTCGAGACCGCGTCCGAGTCGCATCGACGTGTGAACGAAAAGAGATTGCAACCGGTCAGAGTCGACAGGGGCGTCTTCTGACCAATACATCTTCAATTCGCTGACTTGCTTTCGAATCTCTCTTATCTTCTGACGCAGAGCTTTCTTCTCGGCAACTGGATCCAGGTCTTTCAAAAGATCAGGAAACCACACATCACCTTTGAAAAGTTGCAAAGTCTGTACCCTTTCCGCAGTACTACAACTACAGGACAAATCACGGATGAAAAGTTCATAGGACAATTCTTCATGATTCAAAAACTCGGGCTTCATCAGCTCAACTGCTGAACCAGGCTCCTTGGAGAAATCCATACTCCTAAAATGTTCAATAAAGTCACAATAACACCACTCACTGTGTTATTCAAACGTAAACACTACTTTCTCAAAGTTGTCGCTGCCTTCCGAAGATACTCAAGTCGAACAAAGCAATGATGAACACACAACATGATAAAAGAAAAATTATACAAACAAGCACTGCAGCACAATAGATTATTGCAAAAGCAAAAACACAATGCAAAGAAAAAGGACAGAGGCTGACACCCAGCATGCCCCACGTTGGGCGCCATTTGTCACGGTCTCAATTTTTAGTAATGTGGGTTTTGAATACAAATCGAAGAGATGGGTTGCAGCTGGGGACCACAGTTGAGACGGACAAAAGAATTATTTATAAAAATAAGAAAGAACACAAATTTGCTACAGTGCACAAGAAAAATATTTTAATTGTTTAAATAAACAATCAAACAAGACATACAAATACACAGAAATCTTGCAGAATAACACCTGACA